GATGGCACTGCCCTGGGCCATGTTTGATGGTGTCAGGTCCCAGGGTTTCTGGCTGGAGGAGATATCAACAGCACTGCCAAACACGTACTGCTTCCAGCCAATATATGCAGGCCCCTCTGGATACCACGGTGGGATATAGGGATTGATATTATTGGAGCCAAAGTGCAAAATTCCTTTGCCCAGCTGAGAATCCCAATTGTCTGGCCTGACCTGGACACCCAGTCTCTCTGGCTGTCCCTGCTGAACCTGATCTAAAGCACCAGACATCCAGCTGGTCACGAAAGCAGGGGTTGGCATGCATGAGGCAGTGGAAGATGTTGGGTAAGGAGGGGTGGTGGGTTTTACGGGCCTGTCATCAGCAGTGCCATCACCCACAGTAGATGAGGCTTTCTCATCGCTGTCTGTAGCCTTCATAGATACTCTTATCACCGACTTTCCTGAGGGAAAGCCCTTGAGGGGTGGGTACCACTGTCTCTCAGGCCCTGGTATATCCTGGTCTATAGAGGAGGGAGGCTTCACATTCAAGTTCAACTCCCGAAGAGATGGAGAAGCGCTAAACACAGGCAACTGTGGTCTAGGGGAGGACTCGGAGTGTTGGGGGCCAGAGAAGATAGCGATCATAGGAAGTGAGTACCTGTGGTGGGGCTGGTCGGGCCTCTGGGTGACAGACTGTGCTATTTCTCTTTGTTCCAAGGGCACAGCAGCTGAGTCTTCAAAACTCAATGAGAAGAGCTTGGCCACGGCCACTTCTTTCCCAGCTTCTGTAATCTCACAGCCATCCAAGCCACCCTCACTGGAAGGTGGGGTATTTTTGCCCTGGGCATCTGCAGCCTGGTCTCTCTGCTGCTCTTCCTCCTCCCAGAGATTGTCATCTGGGGGACTGGAGACATGTTTCAAGCATGCTATAGACTTGGACTTTGTGGAAAACTGGGTGTTTTCTGAAAGGCATCTGATGGTATTTTTGAAAAATCCAAGCTGTGACTCTACTGTCAGCTCGCTCTTAGTAGGCCTTTCGCTTAAATTCAGGATATGTGGTTCCTGAATTGTTGCAGGTGGGTCTGCCTTGGTTTGAGACACCTGTACATCCTGGCCACCTATAGAGCTGCCCTGAAAGTGCCTCAGTGACTCAGAGTACATGCCTGTGGGGAAAGAGGCAAACTTAGGGTCTTCAGTGGCTTTCTTCTCGGCCATCTTGTTTTCAGGAACCCCTACTGAACTTCTGTCAGCAGCTGAGTGGCTGGAAGAACTTGTCTTCACATCAGAGGCAGATGGGGAGTTGCAACCTTGAGCTGGAGATAGGATAGCAGCCACAGTGGAGGGTTCTAGAGTGCTGTTTTCTGCTGGCCTAACTTCCATATTAAGGTCTTGGAGCTCAAGTCCATGTGTCAAGAGCATGTCAGGTCCCCTAAAAGAGCTCTCTCTTCTCTCATCCAACTCACAGCCCTCAGAAGGTACTACACAGGGTGGGTGGACAGTGTGGGCAGACTTTAAAGTCTCCTTCCCCAGGTCACCTTCTCTATAACACAGTAAAGTGGAAGAATGGGAGGGACAGGCAGGAGTAGCAGTAGGCTGAGAATGCCAGGACTGACAGTACGGAACAATTCCGCTCCCTTCTCCTCTCAGTGGCCTGAGAGTCCTGTTACCTTCAGTGTTCCCTGAGAAGAGGAGGCAATCTAAAATTTCCTTTCCGTATCTGCAAGGGCCTTCCTCCCTCACTGCCCCAGGATCTGGGCTAGGTATTTGATCTGGCAATGAAGTTGGCCCAGGATGTTTGTTGCAAGCCCTGTAGGCTTCAGTCAGCTCAGACACAATCCTTCCCTTGCACTCCACATGCTGCTGTGCTGGAGCTCCCAGTTTAACCTTTCTCATGGCTCCAGGCAGAACAATACCCTGCTGGGGACTTGCCCACCCTTCTTCTAAGCCAATGAAAGCCTCAAGGCTTTGGATGTGGTCTTGCTTAGAAAAGAGACTTGCAGAATTCTGAGCATCACAGATCACAGTCTGACTTTCAAGTTGGGCTGCTTTTTCTCCCTGCACCATCACTAAGTTACCTGAACCTACTCTATATGTGGTGTCCTGAGTTCTAGGCTCCTGGTGCTCTGGCCTGCTGGCCCTACTGGCAGGGGGCATATCCTCTGTAATCTCCCAGGGAGCTGACTTACTTTGCCCACCCATAATCACCCCAGCATCATCAAAAGGGGTCTGAGAAGATAAGGCAGCCACTCCTTTCTCTGGTGTTATCTTCCTGTCCCCCTCCACAGCTGCTGAAGAAAGAAGGCTGTTGCAGTCTATGGGATCCACAAAGGAAAATGTTCTGGTTGCTTCTTTCTTTTTCTCTGTGATTACAGAAGAACTAGAATGGCGTATGAGCTGTTCATAAGCTCCCAGGACATGTTTCAGTTCTCCAGGACAATGTCTTTCACCCAGAGCAGAGGCAACATGGGAAGAAGCTTGCATGGGACACCATGGCCCTCTGTCAGCTTCAGTGTTGGATGGAGGCTGAAAGCTGTCTGCAGAGAGCAGTGAGGTCTGGACTTTACTCTTATCAACTGACAGATGTCCTGGTTCAGCAGATACAGATGCCCCATCAGACTCCTGTGCTTTGCCCTCATTCCCGGTACTGTCTGACACTGACTGGTCCATTTGTTTATACTGATGCCTGCCAGCAGCCCTTGAAGAACATTCCAGTAAAGTTTCATAGTAGGGAAAGACTGTCCCCCCGGCCACAAGGTCATTAAGCTGCTTTCCCTGGGCCTTTAACTGTCTAATATCCTCCAAGATAGCCAGGCACATGGATGCGTAGACAGAAGGCTCCAACAGCCTGGGCTCTGGGTGTGGTACCCTTGGCAGGGAAACAGGTGCTAAGAAAGCCTGAGCCTCCTCCTCTGCCTTCTGCTTTGCCACAGTACCTTGATCATCATCCTCTTGTAAGGAGAAGCTGACCCTCTTTTCAAGCTGGCTAATCCTGCTCAGGGAATTGGCTCGTATTTCTTTTTGTACAGCTACTTCAGCTTCAGAAGGTAAACCTTCCTTGGTACTCAAGCCCATAGAGGTGATTCTGTGGTCCCCTCCTTGGTCTTGGGGGCTGGTGCTCACTGATAGCCTGGCCACAATGCTCTCTGGTGCCTCAGAATGATGAGCTCCCGGGGCCATGGATATCACAGATTCACAGAGAGCAGTGTGTGCCACAAAAGTGCCCTCTCTAACCTCTCCCTGAGGACTGTGGCTTCTGGACTTCCTGCTTTGTTCCTGAGGCTCTGCTTTAGCTACCCAGGGGCTCTTAGGAATCTTCAACATTGCGGGATCCAGCACAAAGTCGACTGAGGAGATGTCTATAGCATCAGACACATGGAGACAGCTGCTGGGCAGGTTTGGATGATTCAGGTCTTGGTAAAAAGGAGCTGTAGAGGGATTTTTCTGGCTCGGCAATGGGCCAATAGTATCCTGGCTAAAAAATGTGCCCAAATAAAGGTTACTTGGACTAGAAAATTCCTGAGTCAATGGCATCATTTTATTTTTCTCCTGTAGGCCCCCACCCATTTGCACAGCCATTTCAACTCTGCCTTGAGCTGTTGGTTCCTCTTGCTTGGAACTACTTAAGTATTTAGCAATTTGGCTTTCCTGAAAACTTTTCATGGTCTCCAATTCCTCAAGACTTCCTAAGCCCCAAGGCTGCCCTTTGAGGCTTGCTAATGCTTTTCCCAACTCACTGTCATTCTCAGAAGACCTTTCAGGCCTGGGCTGCAAAGGCTGAGCTTTAGCCAATGATTTCCTCCTCCTCCTCTTTGGGTGAAGAAAAGTGTTGGTGGGCTCTCTGTGAGCTGTGCGTGTCCCTAAAGAATCACACACGTCCTGGGCTAATTCTGCCAAGTGGGTGTGCCCGCTCACAGAGTTCCTCTCTTGTACACATTCCCTTGACATCTGCAGGCTTAAGGTGATTTCTCGGACCTGGGGATCGCTCCCAGTGCTAATGCAAACCTCCGCCTCTCTCGCTTTACCATCTCTACAGATAACATCATCAGTCTCTTTGGGAGAAGATAGCTGATCCTCAAAGGACAGACAGTTTCCAGGGCTGGCTGGCCTAAGGACATGGTCAGCCTTCTGCTGACCCTTCTGGCTCTGGAACATAAACTCCTTATTGACCGCTGGTGTATGAGCAGCATGAAGCTTCTTATTCTTTGTAGATTCCATTTCTAAGATGTCATTTTCCAGCTGCATTATACTCCTAATCAGTCTAGCCATTTCGTCAGAATTATTAGCCTTTTTATTCTGTTTCTTCCCAGAAGGTTCTTGTCTGGGGTTTAACATTTCTTGCAACCTTCCAGAGCCCTTGTGCTCATTGGAGTTTCTTTCCTGAAAGCATGTAACTAATTGAAGTTTTCCATGTATAGTCTCTGTCTGTGGAAGCTTAAACTCTTCTGAGCAATCTTTGGGGTGAAGAGCTTTTCCAAGCAGCCCAGTTTCATGCTCCCCTTTCCACTTTGGTGTTGGACTCCTACCCTGGGCCACTGTCACTGGGCTGCTTACTCTATGATGTACTGATCGAGACTTCAAAGAAACAGCAGTTTCCGCTGGCGCATCCTTCTCAAAGCCTAAATTGAGGGTCCTACAGGTGAAATCAGACCTGGCCCTAGAGGGGAACTGTCTCTTTCTGTCATGGGCCTGGGTCTGCCTTAGAACTGTACTCTGATCCTGTTCTTCTTCCACACCTGCCTCAGATTCACAAGTGAGGAGGAAAGGCTTCCCATACCTGGAATGGTCTGAGGAAGAGGACTCTTCTCCCTCAAGCGCTTCAAGACCATGTTTCATATTCAGCATGCCAACTTGATTTTCAAATTCACATACTTTTGGGCCACCAGAGGGGGGAAGATGTCTGTTCTGAGCAACAAAAAAATAAACTGAATTACCGCTTTCTTCTTTAGTATTTCCAGGACATTTCCCTAATTCTTGGATAACTTCCCTGGGGTTTGTATCCACTGGCCTCTCTGCTGTGACCTGCTGAGACGAGGCAACTGTGGGCTTCTGGTTTTGTAACAGTACTGGAAAATTCTTCTTCAAATAAGCATTTTGGAGGTGACCGATGCCCCAGGCTTCCCTAGGGGGTGGGGAAGGTGGCTTTGCTTCTCTGTAAGCCGGAATCTCTAAAGCAGTTTCTGTCAGGGCATCCCTGCTTTTGGTCACATAGAATGTTTCCAAGGCAGGAGGCTGCAGAGAAGACTGGAGTGGATTCCAGGAAGCAGAGTGGAGGGATAGCTCTGCATCTGATAGAAAGGCAAAGGAACCATCCGTGCATCTCTCTGCTACTTTCCTATTGCTCTCTTGCCAATCTGCCTTCTCCTCCTGTAGGGGACAATGGCTGTTAGGTCTTAATTGCCCTGGCTGGATTATAGTATTTTTCCTGAGAGGAGCCCAGTCTTGGGATGGATGGTCTACTTTGGTGGCTATGACAACATTTTTGTGACAAGTGCTCTTCTGGAAAAAATACTCGTCAGAGGAAGTCCTAAGTCTCGGTTTCCTGCCACCCTGAAAGCATTCTTCCAAGTTGCTCTGTGTGGGTTTATGTGCTTCTATCACGGAATGTGCTATGTTGTTCTTTTCTGGAAAGACTTGTGCATTTATTGGTACAGAAGAAGACGATTCTAAGTCTGCTGAGTAAGTTTCATTATAACTCACCTCCTTCTCACTAGGGTTAAAGAAATCTGAAGGACCTTCTAATTTGGCCTTTAAACTGTTCTGATCTTTCTCTGCTCTCATACGCCTGGTTTTGGATACAGGGATGGGAAAATTATTAAAATCCAGACTGCTAGCTACCCTGGGACCAACTGGCAATATAGTATCTCGTCCTTTGCCAGAAGCTTGAGTCAGGGAACCAGAGTCTCCCTCAGGGCAGCGGAAAGCAGGACTAAACTTTTCTGTAGGCTCCAAAACTGAGAGTTCAAGGAGATACTTTTGCTGAAGGGTGGCCCAATCCCTTTCCTGGGTGCTGCCTCTATGATTGAATGAGGTGGCAGAGGCAGCTGGCGCACCTGACACACTGGAACCGTGAGACACTTCAGAGCTGCCCTGCTGGGACATGTCAGGGAGACTTCTGCCCAGAAAGGGGCCATTAGCTCCTGATTGAAGAAGCCTCTGAGCTCCCCAGATGGATAGCTTGGATGCACCAAAAGCAGAGGTTGTGTACTCATCTTCTACACTCCAGGGGTGCTCAGTCCTGCCCTGGGGCAGTTGAGAGCTATTTGACAGGACTGTTTTGGCACCTGATGACTTTAGTTCTTCAATATTTAGCCAGTATCCAGGCCTCTCATCATCACAGGGCTGAAATTCCTGCACATCAGTACTTGGATATAAAGAACCTACCATTCCTAGGGGGCTGCTGGGGTTGGTCTTAGAGTCACAGGAAAACCAGGAATCCATGGACATCAGTGGGCTCTCTACTGAAAGCTGCATGCCTCGGAGAGGGTTGGTTTGTTCAGAGTAGCTCACCTCCGCCTCGGACTGAGACTGTTCATAACGGGGCTGGAACCGGGGATCAAGGCAAGATGACTTGCTCCCTGGCAGGACGGTATCTGGCCTTGCTCCTGTCCTGTGGTTGATGGTATCAAGGCTGTGCACTGCCTCCTGGCTCACTGGAGGCAGACGAGAGTCTTGTAGGTGCCAGAAAGTCTCTGTGGGCATCTCATCAGCTGAGCCAAGAGAAGGCTCTTCTCGTTCACCTTTCCCTACTTCCTTCCCAGCCTTGATCAGTCCCTCCAAGGGAAAGCTCCTGTGAGCTTGAGCAAGTAAGACACTGTTTGAGGGCACAGCGAAGCCTCCCACAGAGGTTCTAGTTCTGGTCCTGCAGTGGCCATGGCTGTTGGTGTGATGGCTGGCCCCTGAGCGGTCGTTGGGGCTGTGGTACTCCTTTTCAGCCAGTGAGTCCTCAGATATTTGGCTGTCATCGCTTTCAGAATCGTCTGGCTCTGGAAGATTCCACTTCTTCCCCTGAGGGTCCTCTAGCTTTGGGGGCTCCACCAGGGCTCTGGCATAGACACAAGAAAGAGAACTCACAGAGTAATTAATATCTGTATCAGAGGAGTCATTGTCTTTTTCTCTTGCATGGAACACTTGTGAGTTGGAATCTCTGAGTGGGGCCATGGTGTCTAGGTCCCCTGCATTGAGCTGTCTCTTCAAGGGACTGCCATGAGGCAGATAAGAGGACTTTTTGGCAATGTCTCTGACCCTGGCTGCCAATACCTTATGGCACCTTTTCGATGGCCTGCTTGCAGAAGGTGGTTTATATTCTCCCCGAAAAGTCTTCATTGTCTTTCTATGCACAGCTGGCTGCTTGGGTCCTTCAGAACACAGGGAAATATAAGAGGTTGTTGGTCCCTTAGCCCTTCTGATCTGGATGGCAGGGGTGAGGGTTTGGGGCCCGCCCCTTGACTTTAGCTTGTTAGCTGTTTGGCTCAGAGATGCTAAGCTCTGGGACACCTTCTGACGGAGCTGCTTACCCATTCGACTCATTTCCTGGATGCTGACAGACTTGGGGCTCACAGTGAGGCGGGTGCCTAGAGCTGAGGCTCCCCTCCTGGCCGAGGCTCGTCTGGCTGTGAAAGGCTTTCCTGGGCCTGAGGAATGGAGACCATTCCTGCGGAGACGCCCTATCCTTGGACAGTAAGAAGCACCCTGTGGCAAGTGCTCTTCAGATGATGTTTGCTCCGATATCTGGTGAGTGGGGTCAGGCACAGGTGGTAACATGGTGGACAGATCCAAATTCAGGGAAACTCTGTGGAGACAAGGAAAGCCATCTCAGAAGAAGTAAGAGGTCCCCTACTTCCTGCTGACCTAAGGAATATAAAGTTTCACTTAGTTTGCTCCAAAAGAGGTTAAAAACCAGGCCCATGTTAACTGACTTCAGGGCCAGGGGAAAAAGTCTACAGGTATAATAGGAATACAGACTATGGTCTTAACTCTCTGAGAGACCCCAGGTACATCCTATTCTTCAATTTCTTTCCTTTTTCCCTTTTTTTTTTTTTTTTTAAAGACAAAATCTCACTTTGTTGCCCTGGATAGAGTGCCCTGGCATTACCACTCACAGTAACCTCAAACTCTTGGGCTCAAGTGATTCTCTTGCCTCAGCCTCCCAAATAGCTGGGACTACAGGTGCCTGCCACAATACCCAGCTATTTTTTAGAGACAGGGTCTTGCTCTTGCTCTTGCTCAGGCTGGCCTCAAACCCATGAGTTTAGGCAACCCACCCACCTCGGCTTCCCAGAGTGTTAGGATTACAGGTGTGAGCCACCACACCCAGCCTTTTTTTTTTTTTAAGATAGGCTTTTGCTCTGTTGCCCAGGCTAGAGTCCAGTGGTGTCATCATAGCTCGCTGTAGCCTCAAACTCCTGGGCTCAAGTGATCCTCCTGAGTAGCTGGAAATAACAGACACACACCTCCCTGCCCAGCTGTTTTGTTTTGTTTTGCTTTTTCAAGAGACAGTTCTCTCTTGCTCAGGCTTGGCTCAAACTCCTCACCTAAAGCAACCCCCCTTTCTCTTGCCCTCCTAAAGTGGTAGCATTGCAGGCCTGAGCCAAGGCACCTAGCACAGTTAGAGAAATTTGCCTAGGTTTTAGATTATATTAAGTAATCTTAATTTTTGTGATAATGACATTGTGCTAATAAGGAAAATTCACATTTTTAAGAGGTGTATTTTTTTTTTTGAGACAGAGCCTCAAGCTGTCCCCCTGGGTAGAGTGCTGTGGCATCATAGCTCACAGAAATCTCCAACTCCTGGGCTTAAGCAAGTCTCCTGCCTTCACCTCCCAAGTAGCTGGGACCATAGGCACCCACCACAACGCCTGGCTATTTCTTGGTTGCAGCCATCATTGTTGTTTGGCAGACCTGGGCTGGATTCGAACTTGCCACCTTAGGTGTATGTGGCTGGCGCCTTAGCCACTTGAGCCACAGGCCCCGAGCCAAGAGGTGTATTCTTAAAAATGCAGAATTAAAATGACATGATGTCTAAGAGTCGCTTTAAAATACTTCAGAAGGCTTGGTGCCTATGGCTCAAGTGGCTAAGGTGCCAACCACATACACCTAAGGTGGTGGGTTCGAATCCAGCCTGGCCCGCCAAACAC